CACATAAGCATGTAGCAGTGGAATCAACTTCATTCAAACGAATATAATAATGAAGTCTCATAAGGTTTCATTCATTGAACAACTTGGACATTAAAAGTCACTTCATCATATAATTCAAATAAGAATAACCAAATAAGTAGAGTACATAAAGTATCTCCCCAAAAACATGAATCCAAATGTATCCTCAGTGTTATATGACTAGAGAATGACTCAACCCAAAATAAATACAGAAATAAAATAAGCTAACTCCTTCAGCTACTCTCTCTCTCTCTCTCTCTAGAAGCAACTCTAATCTTCAATACCTGAGCCATGTCCTATAAAACATCATTCCAACAAAAGGGTGAGAATTCACATAATTATCGAAATCATATAATAATATGTAATGCATAACATACATGCATAAAGATAAATATTCTCCTACTTCAGATGCTTTATACACATAGCATCACTTAATTAATCATACTATTCACAAGTATATAATCAAAAATCCACAATTTCACAATTACATCATTTTCACATAATGCACATAAAGTTCATATTATGACATAAACATAATGTGACTCGATACAAGACTCAAATGCAATACTCATGAATGTGGTATCAATCACTATTATTTTTATTCGGTTTTTACTTTAAACTGGGTCCATCCTCTAGACCAATAACGCGTAAAAAGTTCGTCCTCTAAGCTTTCAAACTCCTCTCTAGATTTGGGACAAGTCATAGCTTCCTCAAAACTAACAAGCATGCCTCTTGACAACATATGATGTATGTGCAATTACAACCACCATTTGCAATTAAGACCATTCTCTAATCTTAACATCCATACATATCTTCAATAATTATTCACAATTGAATTACCACACAATTATACATACATGCACATATTTATGAATCATCCACCTACAACTCATATTCATTTAAAACATTCTACAAAACAACATATTATGCATACATATTATGCATACCACACAACACAACATCATGGTATTACCATTCACCAAACATGTTATCAACTCATCATATTATAATCAATAATAATAACGCACTAGATTTTCTAACGATTCGAACGGGGACTCAAACAATGCTACAATTCAAAGGTTATGAATTTTTGAAGTTTTACAAAAAATCATGCATTTTCCTGTGATTTCCTTACGGGAATTTCACTCCAAAACTCATTTTAACATCCAAATTACTACCATTAAAAGCATTATAACCTATATCTAACATGTAATTTCAAATAGTAACATCACAACACCATTACTCATCATATTCAAGGTTTTCTAATCAAAACCTAACAATTTCAAAACCATATAAATTTAGGGATTTCATCCTAACCATGAATCTACCCATCATACACCATCTTACAATTCCTATAACAATGTAATAATTCACCCTTATCTTAATTTGATGAACTTTTGATACTTTTTAGATGAGTCCAAAATATGTCACGAATACCGACATTGTCCTCACAAACGTTGTACCTGGAAATGTAGTGGTTATCATCCAAAAGGTTCAAAAGGTGTTGCATTTCGAACTCAGACCTCGTTGTACAATGTGTTATTTATAACGTTCATTGTAAACCGACTTGATATTTAAAACACTTTCTGGTCTTTTCCGTTTCAAACCGACAAATATGTTTCTCAGTACAACTTTGATTAACGATAATTTTGACATACATTCCTTCTCTTCTCGCTTAAATCGACATACAATTGGATGCCCTTGTAGCTTGGTGTCCAACACATGATTATGCATACTGGAAATGATATTAAACCTCCATGAATCATCCACCCTACAAGAACCACACAATTTAAACAGATACTTACATATATTTTCTTGTTCCCGTGTCATCATGTTTTAACTTCTGGTTTTTTGGAAAATATTTCCCACTTCTCTCGCATGTCATCACAACAAATGCTTGCCTTCTACTAGTTCCATAGTCAGAAATTCCAATCACAACGCCAAACTCAAGTTTTCTAGCTTCCATTCGAACCGATTCAAACATATGTTGACATGAGGTGGAAATTTTATCATTTGTAAATTGTTGTACAACATCTATCACGACAACTTTGGAAATATTGTTGGGGTGCACCATACCTAACACGACCAAAAAACATAAATTATTTTAAAATAAAATTGTGTTTCTGAATTATGGTAGGTGGAATTCGGATATGTATATCCGAAGTGACTTTTTTTCATCCACAAATCAGCGTCAATGCAAGGAATGTGAGATGAAATGAGGAAAGTTTACCTAAAATTGCAGACAAAAATTGGTTTGGAGACGAAAATTTCATTGAAAATTGTTGAAGTTTTGTTAAGGGTTTTAGTTATGGGAGGAAAGAAAACGAATGAAATAGTTGGAAGGGTGACCATGCAGCAATCAAATATGACAAGAGTAGTTTCGGATATGTATATCTGAAACTACCTATAGAGTTTTAAATCCAACGTTTAAGTATTAAAACGTGGAAAAAGTGTGACTTCGGATGTGCATATCTGAAACATGCTGAAAGGTGTGTTCGGATATGTATATCCGAAAGATATTTGCGAGTTTTTAAAAGTTAAATTCAACATAAACAAATGGAGAAAGAAATTTTCTAAAACTTTAAAGTTAACACGGGAACATTTGGAGCTCAAGCTCGCTTAATAAACATCCACAATATAGGAGAAAATAATGAAAAATGAATCGAATACTAGAAATACTATTTCTAATTTTTTTTCATAAAAAATAGAGTTACATTATCCTTCAATTAATTGAATCTAAATTCAAAATTTACGGGTATTAATCTCTTTTTCTCAAAAAATTAAAACAAAATAGTTTCGAATTAAATCACAAATAATTAATTTGATAATTTCAAATCTAGTGTATATAAAATGATAGTAGTGAATAGTTAAATGAAGGTATAAAGACAATAATCCATCTAAAGAATGTTTTAAATAAAAAATCCAACTAAAATAAATTGTTTTTCTAACTTAATATTTAAATATCTAAAATCTAATTCCATGATGCAAACCATCTCCCATATCATTTAATTATCATGCCTAGATGAGTACATTCTCTAAATGGAGAACTAAAGTTTTAAACCAATTTATAATTAAAAATGTTATTTTAACACTATTTTCGACACTACAATACGGTTCATAAATTCACGAATAATGTATTTATAATATTTTAATTTTTTGATATATTTTTTTTCTAAAACTATTTTGATTAATATAATATTACAAATTAATTAATATAATTTAGAATTTAGTTAATATATACTTGACATAAAAACTTATACAATAAATTAATTTTGATTAATATTATGTATAAAATTGATTAATACAATTCATAATTTAATTAATTAATTTTCAAATATAAAAAAATATAAAAAAATAAAAAAATATTGGTTAATAACTTATAAAGATTGGTTAATACATTTATAAATTAGTGTCCGAATATAATTAATAATATGTATTTTATTGATTAATAAAATAGTAAATTGATTAATAAATTATAAATAAAATAATTAGTTAATACCATATATTTTTATACAACTGTGAAATTAGTTAAAGAAACAATCTTATATCTATGTTATAAAATAAATTTTAAAAAAGTAATTTTATTAAAAATCTATTTTAAAAAAATAATAATATTTTATTTAAAAATAATGTTTACCGTACAAATACATAAAAGAATATATAGTGTAAGTATTGGGTGTTGTTTTTGTCAAGGTAGCATAGTTAGGGATGGTAAAACACATTTGGGTTCGTCAGATTGACCTGTTTGACCCGTTATTTTGACAGGTTAGACTGAGATTTTCGGCTCAGTATCTTAAGTTAGCGTATCCCGTCTGACCCACTTAAAAAAGTGGATCGAGATAGACTGAGCGGATTTTGTCCGCAGGCTTTTTGTTAAAATCTTTTATTTTTTTTACTTAGAATATAAATAACTTTAACTATAAAAACAACACTCTTCTTTTAGAATTATGTTGATTGAATTGTATTTTAAATTATTATACATACAAATTGAATTATAAGTTCAACCTTCTTTCTATAACTTTTAATTTATGTGTTGATTGGAAAAATTTGAAATGAAAAAACAATTGAATGACATGCATAATTATTAAGTTGTCAATACATTAACTCACATGTTTTCTTTGAAAATAGATATTAATTTTAAGAAAATGAACAATTTAATTATTGTATACGTGTGACAAATTTATGATTTAATTATTAAGAAATCAATCAATATAAAAGACTATTTAATTATTGAGAAAGTCAATTGTTGATATTTTATTAACTACTATTTTATGCATTATGATGTTTTATGTAGTGTAATTGTTATCTTTGTTTATATTGGGAAAAATCTTAATTAAATTTTTTAGTAATTCGTTTTATTGGAATTGAGTTTATTTCATTTTTTTATAATTATTTATTTATTTTATTTTTGAACAGTTTGAATTTAAAATATATTGAAGTTCTATTATGCGTTGTTAAAAAAAATTGTATTAATTTCTTTAATAATAATAATAATAATTTTTTAAAAATTATGTAATAAATTAAATTATAAAATAAAAAATTGACGAGTTTGTCCGCCAACCTTACAATTCTTTAGTAAATTGACAAAACTTCACTTTTCAAGTCAAACATCTAAATTAATTCATTTCACCTTATTTTTTAACAGAATTAAGCGGGACAGATCGCTGCCCGCTTTACCTACCCGTAAGCATAGCTGAGTTACCATTGATTAAAAAAAAAACAAATTACAACACTATAGGATGGTGCAATAAAACAAATCATATAAAATTAGAGCGTTTTTCACATTTAATGATGTAGGTGCGGCCGCCAAGTAAGAAAATAAAAACAAAGAACGGTCAAACAAGCACATTAAAATATCGAAGCATTCTTCAGAATCTAGAACAGTTGGGAAAATATAAATGAGAGAATCCAAAGTGTAAAAAGTTGTGACCATAAACCAGAATCGAAAAAAAATATCTTTTTGTTGCTGTAAGCCTGTAACCATGAATACACTTGTTCGCAACGGCACTCTGACCTTCAGCCGCAGACACAGATATGAACTTGTCAGTCTTCAAAGGAAAGAAACCTGTCTCAAATCTATCAGCTACAGACGAAGAAGAGCGAAACAAAGGAAAATATTTCTCACAACTTATAAACTATCTTCTTTGAATCATTTTGTAGAGCCTAAAAGGCCTAAGATTAAAAGGGCCGCTCTTAAGGTAAAAAAAATTCTTAACTCAGTTTTGATGTTTATGCGAACCGGTTCTTTCAGATCCTGTCGCTCTAAGTCTGCAATTTCAGCTACCTCCCCTGTACCAAATAGGAAGATACTTTGAATATGTTATTCTTTCTAATCATTTCAGTTTTTCATTGTGTGATTGAATTGAGAAGAGCAATAAGGAAAAAGGTTTTAGTTGTTGTTCTCGTTATATGTTTGATTCATGATGAAAGCTTGCTAGATATACATGCTTTGTCAATTGTTCTGTAAATAATCTAATATATCTACTTTTACCATTTAATTAATCTAATATATTTGTCTTCTACTTATCAGATGTTGGCTTATTTTTCAATATTCACGAGCCTATAAATTTATAATTGTTATCTCAATTGGTTATTTAATTTTTAACTTTTTTGAATCCTCGGTGATAGACTATAATTTTACCCTCCAGTAAGCTAATAACAGAAACAAAACCAATCAATTTGTGTCTAAAATTAGAGAAAAAGAAAGAAAACACTTCTAAGAAATAATCAAACAACTTTAGTGCAAATAATCAAACAACTTTATTCCTTTGACCAATTCAAAAAGACAATTACAAATCTAAAACCGTTCCCTCTCAAATGGAAAAAGTCGCCAACCTGCGCAAATCCCACCCTATGCCACTGTGCATTTTCCCCTCAAAAGGGAAAAAGACAAATAGGAGTTTATTCTTTAAAGAAAAAAACCCTTCAACCCCTAATTTTGCTTATCAAAATTTCAAAAAAAAAAACATTTTACACCCTTTGCATTCTACGCTTACTCCAAGTTACTCTTGAATTTTGCTAAGCACTTCCTTCTCATCAAATAGAGCTGACTTTAGCCATTGAGATTGTGAATCAATTAAAAGAACAGTCCTTTCAAAAGTATGAAGAACCGCATAGTATTGAAGAAACTCAAAATACTCCTATCCTAACAAATTAGAAAGAAACTATGGTCACTAACCCATTTGTTGTGGGCTGATCTCTTTCCACTCTTATGTTAATGAAAGTTTTCAATGACTTATATCTTCTCTTAACATATATACCCCCAATGACACATTTATATTTTAATTTTTGGTTATTATTAAAAGTAAAATTTAATTATTACTAAATCATTTAATATTGTAATTTGTAATATATTTTTCTATTTCATTTTTTTAATATTTCATTAAATTACTTAAAGTTAAAAAGTTAATTATAATTAATTAAATTTTTTATTAATCGTGTTCGTGAAAATCATTTTTATTGTTTATATAAGTGTTGGAGGGTGTAAGTGGGATTAACAACAACAGTACCAAAAGGCGTGTTAAAGAGGTGGTTAGATAATATAACTCCACCTTCGTAGTCATTATTGAAATTCATATCCCTTTTCTTAAACTCTCCACCCTCTAGACTAATATTGTCTATATTCTTAATGGTCATTTAGGGGGAATTCTGGATTCTCAAAAAAAAAATCTCACTTGTGGACACTATCATAATTGACCACAACAGTTCTTCACTATTTCTAGAAGAGAGGCCATCGCACTGTCATTTATGTTAGTCCCAACCCAATAACACGTGCCAACTTTTGGAATTACATGATAAGTCGTGCTCAACAGATCATTAACCGTTATTGGAGACTTCAAAAAGATCATTTTTATTAGAAAAAAAAACAAAATATATAGAGAAAAAAAATAAAATAACATAAGATATTAATGTAAAAATTTTAAAATCGGGAAAAAAACTATGACGGTTGTAATAGAAAATATCATTATGTCAAAATTATTATAATACATAGACTATTTCCAAACATGTCAAAGTCTCAATACACTTACACTTTCTAAAATAATTATTTAACTATCTCTCACATCACTCTAAAACAAGAGCATAAGAGAAAATAAATAAAAAATCAAATACAATCTTAAAGTATTTTTGACTGATACATCTTGTAAAGAAAATTTTGAATCCTATATAGTCTTGAACTTCCTCTCCATTCACTAAATAAAGCAATGCGGAATTTAGAAAAATTTTAATTCTATATAGTATTGGACTTCTTCTTCCTTTATAAAAATAAGTGATGTGAGACTTTTTTAACATATATATTTTCAACCAACCCCAACAATTTCCACCTTGATTGAAAATAATACTTAAGTTTTCATTGTCTTCACAGACAATCATACTTCACCATAAAGAGTATAGTCACTTGAAACTACATCAGTCCAAGAATTTTCACATTGTCTTCACCGACAATTATAATTTTAAAAACTATAATACCCACTTAAAGAAGAGTATCTTTAAAGCCACTTCAAAAAATTTCACATGCCGAAAACCAAGTTGAAACTTTATGGTGCAACTTCCATGTTGATATGAAACTCTTCAACCATCGACATAATCTCACAACACATTTTGCATCAATGCCCATGTGTTAATCCGCTAACAATAACACATCATTTTTCATGACAACGAAAATGTCATGAGGACACACTTCTCAATTTTCATATTATATCATCCTCTCTCACAATGAGAGAAACATTGCTAGCATATGAATCAGAGCCCTTCTCTAACGTTGCTCCATCAAGACACTTATACTTTATATGTCCAATCTTTTCACATTTCCAACATTCCACACCCGTTTCATTATTTTTCTTCATATAAGGCCTTCCTCTAGCGACCAACACGGAGTTTGATGAAGTATTATCCTCACAATTTAATCTTATTTCTTCAGAAATAATTTTACTAGCAACTTCTTCAAAACTTAAAGTTTTTTTCCCATATATCAAAACCGGTTTAATATGTTCATAGGAAGATGAAAGAGACCATATGAGTCTCAAAGATTTATCTTAATCATCAATCTTGACTCCAATAGTTTCTAATTCAGAAACAATACCATTTAGAACACTTATATGATAAGATATTTTTGTATATTTATCCATACACAAGCTATGAAACGACTCCTTCAACAATAAATGATTTGATATACTCTTTCCTTGATATAACCCTTCAATTTTCTCCCAAAGCTCTTTGGATGATGACATACCAATAACATTCGCAAGAATATTCTTAGCCAAATATATGCGGATTATACTTGAAGCTCTCAAATCTAGTCCTCCCACTTCTCGTTGTTAATTTTGGAAATGTTTCCTTTCAACGCCTTGTGTAATCCTAATTGTAACAAAACATCTTGGACTTGAACTTTTCACGAGTCAAAATTGATTCTTCCATCAAATTTCTCTAAATAAATCTTCAATGCACTTGAAAAACTTGACATTACAACCAAAACCTTTCCCGCAGCAAACTAAAATTTTTCCAACCAACAGAGTATAAAATTTCTTTTTTGATGTGGAAGATGAGACAAAACTGCAACCACAGAGCATACTAAAATTTATACCCTACCAAACCAAGGATCTTGATACCACTTGTTAGGAAAAAAACATAGAGAAAAAAGAGGAACAAAATAACAACACAAGATATTAACGTGGAAACTCTAAAATCGGAGAAAAAACCACGACCGTTGTCAAAAGACAACTAGAGAATATCACTATGTGAAAATTGTTACAACACATAGACTATCCTCAAATACCCCAAGGTCCCAATACACTCATACTCTCTAAAGAAACTATTTAACTACCTCTCACAACACTCTAAAACAAGTGTATAAAGAGAAAATAAAAAAGTCAAATACAAGCTTAAAGTGTTTTTGACTAGTACATCTTATAAAGAAAAAGTTAAATTCTATATATAGCCTTGGACTCCCTCTTCATTCACTAAACTAAGCAATGTGGGACTAGGAAAAATTTTAATTATATATATAGTCTTGGACTCCCTCTTTTTTTACAAAAATAAGTGATGTGAGACTTCTTCAATATGTATATTTTCAACCAACCCCAATAATTTTCTATAACTATTAGATAAAGGTTACCTTCAACCCTTTTAGAGTAACGATCTTTGTTAATTATTTCGACACTTAAAAATTGTTGGATTTCCACTAAACGGGGTCACTTTATTTGTCATCACAATAGCCATGAGTATATAATTCTCTATGAAAAAATAGATTATGGGCTACCTAATATCCCTTGGCGACTTGCTCTTACGAAGGCTTTAATGAGGAAACTGGTGACTTTCTACTTTGAGATAGCTTGGATTGATCATTAAGATTATCATAATATAGTTGACCATGCTTGATCTTTCATTAGCATCAATATTATATCGCCCCTGAAGAAAGGGGAGGAAGAATTCACCACCTTCAATCAAAGTGTCTTCGACAATATCTTTTGTCAGAAAAAACACAATGGAGACATTACAATCACAAAGATATAACAATCACATACTTTTCCAAGAGAAAAATCACATATTCCAAAAGTCACGTGACAAATAATTAATTTTTGGTGAAACAACTACTTCTTTATTCGATGCTTAAACCATTATAAGAATGGAAGAAACATAATACATCAAATTAAGCTCTCTAACAATATTTGGACTAAAGATAACACCATCATCCAATAAGAAGAACATATGTTTTTTAAATATATCTTCTACAACAATAAAAAGTTTAGTCTGTAGTCTCGAGAAGTCATAGGCAGTTGGTCTTTGAGTTATAATCTGATTGATTAGTGGATTTAGTCCTTATGAAAAGGAGAAATCACTCAGATGAAAGGACTGGGTTAACTTAATTAACAGTGAACTAGGATAAAAATCACTGAGTATATTTTATCATTGTTGTTCTTATTTTTGGGTTGCACAAAAAATTATCATACTAGAAACCCAATCCAAACCCCATTTATTGTGTTTCTTGAACCTTCACTGAATTTGTATCTTTCTGTGTTTGTGCAATTCACTGACACACTAAAAAGTAATAGTGTCGAGCATTAAGCCATTTGATTACTTATATTTCCTTTCTCCCTGAGAGACATGGATTGAGCTTGGTTATAATATCTGCCGTCAAATTCCATAATAACATGGAATGGGTTGAAGAAAGCGTTCCTTGCGAGGTGCTTCCCGCCTAGCAAAACTGCTTAGTTAAGGAACTTGTTAAACAACTTCAACTTATCTAGAGGGAATTGAATATATCCCAAAAAAATTTATGGCAAGCGGAAGATTAAACCTAGATCGAACAAATCGTCTAAACCGAGTCGACTATTGGAAACTCGGATATGTGTAAACCACA